TTTCAGTCATACAGGAGCTGAGTCCAAATGTCATAATAACAAGAGCCAAACAGGAGCACAGCTTGACCCAGTTTATCAAAAAGCTTGGTAAACACTTCAGTTTTGACTAAATTTAGACTATCAAATCGATGTCTAATTTTGCTTCAATTTCAGAATTGAATCGGGAATAGAAGCCTGAAATAGTCATGTTTCCAAATGCAAACTTTGGTAAGTACTTACAAATAGCTTGATTTTGTTCTGTATCACAATTGAGAGGAAAATGATGTGGAGCACAAAAGGAGAAGTTTAGCAGGATGTTCATGCTGCACTTTTCCTTATATTACATTGAAAGTGGATGGGGATGCTAATGAATTTCAAAGATGCAGTTTTTGACTTGCACACTGTAAGACATTTGTGTGTCAGTCACTTGTTCTTGTTTTTTTCAGTTAGTATAAAACTCTCGCTTTATTTATTCATTATTTTGCAGGAAAGATGTTGTGTACATCGACAGAGACACGTACAGGTTGGTCGAATGAACAAGTCCCATCTTTTATTTTCAACTTTCTGGAGGTATAAAAACCTGTTTGTACTTTCTCCTCACTGCACTCCAGATCTTTAAATCTGAGCTGCATCCTTCCGTATTTAAGCTCTAGTCAGGCGAGAAAGAAGGATTGAGTCTTTATGGTAAAATGTATTCTTTTGTGCATCGTTTTTAAATCCTGTCATGTTTTTGTGAAGGGGTTTTGAAACTGGGGCTCACAAGTGAGTGCTAGGGGAAAGTTTCGATAAAAATGGTGTAAAAAATGTTAAAACAAATAAATAATAAAAATAAGTTTTAAATAAATAAATTAATAATTGGATTTAAATAAATAATAAAAATGTATCAAAATAATATAAATATATTTAAATAAAAAAATCTATATATCTAAAAGTACAGAACTATAGTGAGTAGAAGAAATGCAATAATAGAAACCTTAGTTTTGAAAGTTTAAATCAGTAAATTTATATTCTAAATATGCTATATTATACGTGAATATTTTAAGAAAGTTTTAGGATGGTGGTCCCTTGCACAAAAACATTGAGAACCCCTGTTTTAGTGAGTAGTCAGAAAAGTTGAGAATGGTAATTGTTTAGTGGAAAGTTATAATTTATAAAAATGTCTATTTAAAGGAATAGTTCATCCATTAAAATTAAAGTCTGTTTTTTTTCTTATAATAATGCCCATGCTGATCTTTTCCTTGCAATAAAAGTGAATGGGAATAAATACCCACGTTGCGTTTTCTGCAGGTGTTCTTAATCGATGTCGGAGCAAAAGTTTGGCTCTCTGCTTTTACGGTAAAATTCCGTTTTTATAACAGATCATTTAGCACATTTAAAATGTGTTTAAGCCCTAACTGGATGAAATATAGACTTCTTTTTCTCCTTTGTCTCGGGCAGTGGTTCCACAGACCTACTCGAGATCTGAACATCCTGAAGAGGCGTCAGGAAGTGATGCGTTTCTTCACAGCCCCTCGTAACTTTGCTGATCTTAACACTTTACAGAGTTGCCTGCGGAATATCAAGAACATCTCGGTACAGTTTTCAGCATTTTGTCTAAAAATCAGCATTGTTCAATCAGAGCCAAATTACAGAACAACAAAAGCCACCCAAATGAATTGACTCTTGTCTTGTCTTTCATACAGACGTTGCTGCATAAAATGTCTCGCTCTAACCCGAAGGTTGCCGTCTGGCAAGGCCTATATAAGGTGTGGGCACAATAGTCAGTTAATTAGTTGTTAAGAGGATTGGCTATCCTGTTTTTTTTTTCTTCTTCACCATGTTTCTCTAATATCAGACAGTGTACATTGTGCATTAGGGACACTGTTCCCTCCATGCCCCAGTGCATCCAACTTTTCAGTGAAATCACTCAAAACTTCTCCAATGATATTTTCTACATTGCCACATACATCAGTAAAGTGGTGAGACTGAATAATGGACTAAAGCATGTTCCATTTTTTGTTGCAATTGATGTTTATGTTCAATTATTACAGAATTAATGTAATTGCCTTGGGTTTGTCATTCTCCATTGCAGGTGGACTTTGAAGAAAGTATAGCTGAGAACCGATTCACTGTTAGGCCGAATGTTGATCCTGTTATTGATGAGAGTGAGTGGTTTTCCATTGATTTCTTCAGTTCTGATGGAATAGTAACTGAAGGTGCACAATATATTGGTGGCTAATATATCATTCACCGATAACTAGGAAAATGAAACTGTTATTTTATTACCCGCCTTATTTTTCAATGTGAAATTAAGTTATTTTCTGTGAATGCGCAAGACTTCAGATTCATATTGCCATTATACATTAAAAAAACCTTGAAGAATAATAAAGTGCAGTAAACGGTAAAACTATAGACTTGTTCAGACTATCAGTCGAAATCCGATTTTGTGCATATCTGATTGGAATCTGATTTAAATGGTTGACTGTCCACACTGTGTATCGCATCTGTTCAGATCCAGTTTGTGTGTCATCTACATCCCTCTGGTCAGGAAGTGATTAATGCTGCCCTCCGTTCATTAAAGTGTGATGTGTTACCTAATTGTTGACACAGAGCATAAAGGTTGCAGGTTCAATTCCTTGTTGGAGCGACCCAATAAATGAAGAGTCAGTGAGGTGGCAGTTGTGCCCCTGAGCGGGCCTCTTGACCCCAGCTTGCTCCAGGATGACTTTTCCTGTAATTAGTGCACTGCAGCAAGTAAATGGCAAGCAGCTGTAACAAGCAGCAAGCAGAGCTGTTTCATTTAATAAAGAAAGAGCTAGCAGTTAGTCACAGAATTAAAATTTATTATGACATTTCTGTGCCACCAAACAGAATTCCAAAAATAATGATTGTTTCCAAACAGATTACCCAAATACTCCTAAAATCCTCTCACACCACTGATTATGCAAACAGGAAGTCCTTCCCTAAACTCATGCCATTGGTAAAGTTTTAGAATTTTTAAAAAAATATGTGTGATATAACTTGTTTGTTTGTTTGCTGTTTTTTTTTGTATTTGTTATACTTGTATTTTTTTAAATTGTTTTTGCCATGAAAATAGCCTTTAATGCTGATATGGCATTAAATAAATATACTATACTATACATGCCATTGGTTGAGCCATCTGTAGAAATTTTGAACCACTCAAACACACTGCTATGTTGAAAGGGGAGAATCAGCCTATTAAAGGTCTAATTATATAGTGATCTCTGCATGTTCAACTTTGACAAGATAAGATATTTTAAAATGGAAAAAAATGGCACATTTCACCTTAAGAGATCTTATTGAAATGAACAAAATGAATGGGTTTTAGAGATGCTAATTGATAATGAACAGCATACGGTAGGCATTTCAAGGCAAATTTTGTAGTAGTACATACAATCAAATATCTGAAAAAAAGTTAACGGATAGTGCTTACATTTATTTAACTGACATACATGATGACATCCTGATATTTCATTCTGTGTTGGATGACAGATTGGATTTTTACTGTCAGTGCCAAGATTACCCAACATGCTGGATAAACAGAGCTCTGAGATTGAGGGTCTTGATTGCATTGCGAGTATGCCAATACTTTTAACACAATATCTTCAAGGCAACACCATATTAATTTCCTCAAATATTCTGGATAGGATTTGTTTTAAACTGGAAACTGCTTGTTGTACAGACTTTGTTTCGTAGATAATTTCAGTCTTATGTGTGCTTTTCTATTTTTGATTCTTGTCTTCTGTTTAAGATTATAGTTTGAAAATCTTACCTACTTTATTGCATATGGATCAAAGTGCTTCCTTTCAACAGAAAAGCATGATAACTAATCTTAATTGAAAAGCATGGTCATGGTACTGTAACTAATATTAATCACAGAAATTGAATGTGCACACGTGGAGTACATATTTCAGGCCTCTTTGTCTTAGACTCATTAATGTTTGAGGATTATTTTTGGATTATTTCAGTTCCTATCAAAGGACCAACTGCATTACCGTAGCACTCGAACCAAAGAGCTGGACAGCATGCTGGGAGACCTGCATTGTGACACCATAGGTCTTTTCTTTCTTTCTTTCTTTCTTTCTTTCTTTCTTTCTTTCTTTCTTTCGAATAATGAATTAATTGCACAGAACCCTTACTGTGTCTCTTAAAACTGTTTGTAATCATGTAAATTTTTTCCAGATCTGGAGATGGCGGTAATGAGGAAGCTTCAGGCCTCAGTGCTTCAGCGGAGCGACTGTTTGTATAAGGTCATGTCTCTATGTGCAGAGCTGGACTGTCTCATTGCTTTAGCTCAGGCTTCACTGGATCATGGCTTCTGCTGTCCAACCCTGACACCAAACCACAGACTGGCCCTGATTGAGTCACGGTACAAATCATCTCTTCTAATGAGATTGATTTTCTGATTTCTCTATTCTTCTGTTTATATGTTTATCCTTCTTTGTCTTTCAGACATCCTTTGCTGGAGCTGTGTACTCCAGTATTTGTGTCAAACACATACATCAGCTCTGAAACTGAGGGCAAAGTGAAAGTTATTACAGGACCAAATTCCTCCGGCAAGAGCATCCATCTAAAACAAGCAAACCCAGCAATAAATATCATAGACCTCACATTCACGTTAACACCCTACATGGGCTAATTTCTAAATAAATAATAGAACATTTCATAGCAGTAATTGAAAAGACTACAATGCAATTCACTTATATTACTATGAATGGGAGAAAGTGCAACATGCAATATAGTGGAATAAGTCCCTTCATTAGAAGTTCCAGTTCCCATAGAAACAGTCAGTGTCCTGAGATGCATGCTTTGGACTGCACATGCACATCTTACATGAAATAAGATTTAAAGATAAGAAACAACATTCATGGGTCAGTACATGGCAGATTTTTATTGCTGAATTGAAATGTTATTTAAATGTGAGTTTGGCAAGCAGATTTTGAGAGTTTGGTATTTTCCCATTCAAGTAGATAGAAATTGGTCTTGCATGCCAGAAATAGCTTCCCGGAGGCGTTACAAATATGACAGAGGCAGAGATTGGGCTGGTGGATGGAATCTTCAGCCGTGAGTCTGTATCAGTGGGTCTGAGCACCTTCATGATAGACGTGACCCAGGTGAGGCCATCACCTTTTTTTATTTCTGTAACATCCATCTTTGATTTTGTAGATGTTTCCAAAGTGTCATGTCCCTCATTCATGTAGCTTGAATTGGTTTTGATAACTGTTTGCAAGACTGCCATTCAAAACTGATGAGTCATTGAAATACATAGATAATTGCAATATCATCCTTCTGCTGTTTTCTAATAATTATGATTCCTGTCTAGATGATTCATTCCTTGAACCACAGCACTAGGGATTCTCTTTTTCTAGTGGATGAATTTGGTAAAGGAACCAACACTGTAAGTTTGAAATAACCAGGAGGAGCAAACAGGACTTATAGAAAAGCATGAAGGCATTTCAACTATTATTGTGTGTGTGTTAATGATGCAGGTGGATGGATTGTTTCTTCTGACCGCATGTCTCAATCACTGGCTGCGTCGTGGGCCACAGTGTCCTCACTTACTTATGTCGACATGCTTCCACAGCCTCATACAGCTGGGCTTGATCTCTGATTCTCCACTGCTGGCTTTACTGGTGCCACAGAAACATGCTGTGACCAGAAAATACAATTTTCATCAACCACTTCTGTCCCTGTGATTTCAAGACCAATAAACAATTTATGCATGTTTGGTTTTTGTTTGGCAGACTCTAGAAACAGCTATAGAGGGAGAAGAGCTGGTGTTTTTGTACCAAGTCAAAAAACGGCATCTGCCAGTCGAGTTGTGCAGCTAATATTCGGCATTCCTGATGACCTGGTCAAGAGAGGAGTGGAGGTATGATACAGTCATTTTTTATATTGAATTCAGATGTGGGTCAGATGTGGGATATTCTTACTTGTTATCTCCTACTTTCGACCATAAAGGTGCTACATTGCCTAAAAGCTAACAAAAATATGGGTCCCACTTTATATTAAGTGGCCTTAACTACTATGTACTTACATCAAAAATAAGTACAATGTACTTATTGTGTTCATATTGTATTGCAAAACACTTTTGCTGCTATTGAGGTGGGATATCGATGACCTGGTCAAGAGAGGAGTGGAGGTATGATACAGTCATTTTTTATATTGAATTCAGATGTGGGTCAGATGTGGGATATTCTTACTTGTTATCTCCTACTTTCGACCATAAAGGTGCTATATTGCCTAAAAGCTAACAAAAATATGGGTCCCACTTTATATTAAGTGGCCTTAACTACTATGTACTTACATCAAAAATAAGTACAATGTACTTATTGTGTTCATATTGTATTGCAAAACACTTTTGCTGCTATTGAGGTGGGATATGGGTAAGGTTAGTTAGTTAGTTAGTTAGTTTAGTTTATTGTCCTTTCGGAAATTCTTTTTGTATCTGTGGCAACTCTTCAGTGATCAACAACAATAATTAACAATACAAACATCAACAGATTACAACACATCACAAATAAATTCAACCAGCATCAAACAGCATCCCGCTCACAACAACAGAATCACTGCCATAGATGTACAATGACAACTGTGATATCACAAAAATTTATTTAACAGAGCTATACTGGATGATATAAAAGATCTTTGTGCACGGGCAGTCCGTAATAATGGTACCCTGTATCTTCGACCAGATGGTAATAACTCATATTCACCACAAAGAGGATGAGATGCATCATGAAGAATTGTATGGCTTTTCCTCACAGCTCGAGATTCACATAGTTTTATCAGACTATGGTGTTGTTTACCTGCAATCTTACTAGCCATGTTAACAATTTTATTTAGTTTGTTCTTAGGTTAGGGACAGGTTTGGTAGTATGGGTAGGTTTAAGGGTAGGTTAAGGTGTAAGGGATAGTCCAACAGTGTAATTATAAATGTAATTACAGAAATTAATTACAGATGTAATTACATGCAGGTATTTTTAAAATATAAGTACAATGTAAAAACATGTATGTACACAATAACTGCATTGTTTCAAATGATTAATTTAAATGTAAGTACATAGTAGTTAAGGCCACTTAATATAAAGTGGGACCAAAATATGTTCTAAGAACATTTTGCTAATATTCCCACTCTGAAAACAATTTTTGTTGCTTTTTTGGTCATGTGAATGTTAGGGCAAGGCACTACAGGCAAAAACATTGTTTTTTCATGCACTGGTCAATTTTGAGATTTTGGGCAATTTGGCTTTTCATTACATGTTTTTTTTGCAAAATAGACTTTTAAGTGTTTGTTTTATTGTACTTTATTTATTTGCATCTGCAGATTTCAGTTAAAATACATATCTTTAAAGACTGTTTCCTCAAATTGAGTTTCCTTTTTATGAGTTTTTTTAGTTGATTTATTTTTTGCTTTTCAAATGTCCATTTATTAGGGGTGCTCTGATTGATCGGCTACCGATTGCTATCGACCGATAATCGCTTTGGGAAGTTTGAACCGATAAATCGATCTCAAGCTGACTATGCACCTACCCTGAGAGGTTTGGCATGACATGTAGCGGCACCGTCTCAGTCTCTGTCCAGCGTGGGTAAAATAATTATAATGCTGAAAGTGAGGTACAACTCATATTTCTTTATAAAATAACTTACAAACTCATTTGAAAAGTTTCTGTAAGACATATTTTCACAAACAGCATGAGTGAATCACCATGCGCTCTCTCTTTACCTCTAAAAATGCCCAAATGTCTTCAAATC